GGCCGGCGGGGGCGGGGCTTGGCGGAGGAAACTGAGGCAGGAGGGAAGCGTCCCAGATGTGCAGCCGGTCCCCCCAGAGGGGCCTCGGGAGCTTGGACCCCCAGCCCCGATCTGGGGGCAGAGGGCCTGGGAGTCCGCATTTCTGAGTACCTGGGGAGGAGGGAGGGGCCTGAACGCCAGAACGCCCGGGTCCGAGGGAGGAGGGCGCTGGGGGCCGGGACTCCTGGGTCTGAGGGAGGAGGCATCTGGGGACCCACACTCCCGGTCCTGGTTGGGTCAACGTGCGCTGTCTTCACTCCCCACCCTTCCCATTTCCCCATCTCCGAGCCAGGGCAGGCAGCCACTCCAGGTATGTGCAGAAGTCTTGGGCGGGCCCTGGCCTGCCCCGTGAGGAGGGAACATTCCAGGAAGCAGCCTCGGGTACCCAGAGCTTCTTGAGTGTGGGCCCTCAGGGACCCGGGTGTCCAGGCCAGATCCGCCCCCGCCCCGTCTGGGAGGTGAATGGGCCGAGGGGGATGTAATCTTTTCCAGCCTCCTTTGCTGCCTCTCCCCTCCCCACTCCTCCCCCATCTGCTTCCCATCCCAGCCAGGAGCCATCACCTGGGCAGAAAAGGGGCCTCTGGGAAGGGGGCGGGGCGTCGGCTCTTGGGTACCCTACACTTGAAGAGGAACCCTGGGAAGGGGCTGTTTGGGATTCCGGCCCCCTTCCTCCCCTGTCTGCGTGACCCGCCTCTTCTCTTCTTCCTTAGGTGGTTGCCCCCTCCCTCTCCTGAGATGTCAGGAAGGAGGGGGCCACCTGTGTCCTCCACAGGGGCCCCCCGGAGACTGGGGGCCCCCAGCACTGGAGCTCGGAGGTGGAGGAGGTGCTGACAGGTCTGGTAACCACTGGCTGCTTCCCAGTCCTCAACACACCACCCTGTCCCAGAACCACAGGCTTCTAGAAAGTTGTAGAGAAACTACAATACTCACGCCCCCACCCCCCACCAGCCTCTCCCTGGGCCAGGTCAATTTCACACGAAACTGAAGCCCCACCTGAAAGGGGAAGTGTCATGCATTGTTAGTGGCAGTTTTGAGCTGAACTTGGGTCTCCTTAGGAGTCCAGATCCTGGCCTTTCTCAAAATTTTGGAATGTTATTGGGCATGGGGACGCATCATTGTAGTCCTAGCTCCTCAGGAGGGCTGGCAGGAGGATCACTTGGGCCCAGGAGTTCAAGTCCAGCTGGGTAACATCTGGCTCTTAAAAAAAAAAAAAAAAAAGAGCCGGGCTCGGTGGCTCAGCCTGTAATCCCGCACCTTGGGAGGCTGAGGTGAGTGGATTGCCTGAGCCCGCGGGTTCGAGACCCGCCTGGGCAACTTGGCGAGACCTCATATCTACAATAAATCAAAAATTAGCTGGGCATGGTAGCGCACGCCTGTAGTTCCAGCTAATCAGAAGGCTGAGGCGGAAGGATGGCCGGAACCCAGCAGGTCGAGGCTGCGGTGGCCGGGAGTGGCCACTGCACTCCAGTCTGGGCAATAGAGTGAGACTCCAACTCAAAAAAAAAAAAAAAAGGGAATGTCCTCCAAGGGGTAGGATGTAGGGAGGGGTTCCTCAGGGTTGCAGAGGCAGGATGGCAGAGTGGAGTTGGGGTTAGGCCCCATCTCTGCCATTTGCTGGCTGTGTGACCTGGTGCAAGTCTTTAACTTCTCTGAGCCTGTATTTCCCCATTTGCTGGCTATTAAATAATAGTAGTTGAATAATTATGAGTACTCTAGAAGTTGGGCATTACCCAAGGCCTAGAATGTAGAGTCTCCCAAGCTTCTAAAGCAAGGACGTCACAGTTCTGGCATGCAGGCCTCCCCTGGGGTTCCCAACTTCTGTCCTCTTCTCTAACCCCAGCCTCCCTCTCTCTCCCTCTAGGTGCGCTGAGAGATGCTCCCTCGCCCCTCGTGCTCCCTCCCCATCCTCTTCCTTTTCCTCCTCCCCAGTGTCCCAATGGAGCCCCAGCCCCCACCCTCACCACTGCCCCCTTTTCTGGCCCCCGAGTGGGACCTTCTGTCCCCCCGAGTAGTCCTGTCCCGGGGTGCCCCTGCCGGGCCCCCTCTCCTCTTTTTGCTGGAGGCCGGGGCCTTTGGGGAGTCAGGAGGTGGCCCGGCCAACCGCAGCCGGCGTGGAGTGAGTGAGACGGCACCAGCGAGTCGCCGGGGTGAGCTGGCCGTGTGCGATGCAGTCAGCGGTTGGGTGACAGACCGCCGGACGGCTGTGGACTTGCGTGGGCGCGAGGTGGAGGTGCTGGGCGAGGTCCCTGCGGCTGGTGGCAGTCCCCTTCGCCAGTACTTCTTCGAGACCCGCTGCAAAGCCGATAGTGCGGAGGAAGCTGGCCCGGGTGAGGCTGGCGGGGGCTGCCGGGGTGTGGACCGAAGGCACTGGCTGTCTGAGTGCAAGGCCAAGCAGTCCTATGTGAGGGCGTTGACTGCGGATGCCCAGGGCCGTGTAGGCTGGCGATGGATTCGAATTGACACTGCTTGCGTCTGCACACTCCTCAGCCGGACTGGCCGGGCCTGAGGCCGATGCCCAGGAGCTGATCAGACAGAGAAGGAACAGAGCTGGATGCTGAGAGACCTCAGGGGTGGCCTGGCTGCTCTAAGGACCTCCGTTTGGGAACTTGTCAAGTGATGGCAAAATCACAGCTCTCTGATCTTGCGAGCCCAATCTGTGCAGGATGGGTGATGAAACCAAATGGGTTTTCGAAGGATGAATAGAAGTTCTCCTGGAGGAACTTGAGAATAAGGATGGTAACAATAATAATAACCAATGTTTAGTGAGTGGCTACTGTTTATCAACCCCAATACATATCTCCTCGGCTCAACTCTCATGAATTTGACCATCGGAGGCCCTTGGCTTTAAGTTGCTGATGAGTCCGTCTCAGAGGACACCACTTTACCCACCCTGGAGAGAAAGTCAAGGAGGGGATATTTCAAGAAGCGGGTAGGGGAGGAAGAAACCGGAATATGCAAGCAAACAGCCAGAGGACCATGAGGACATGGTTCAACAGAAAGCCTTTAAGTATCTTGGAGCTGGGGTTCAAATGAGAAATCTTACTTGGTGTGAGGGGTGAGTGTTGGCTTAGAATTCTGTTTTGAAGACTAAACGGTGGCTCATGCTTATAATCCCAGCACTTTGAGAGGCCAAAGTGAGAGGATTGCCTGAGCCCACAGGTTCAGACCAACCTGGGCAACTTAGCGAGACCTCATCTCTACAATAGATAAATAAAAAAAATTAGCCAGGCATGGTGGCATGCTGGGAGCTTCCCTCAAGCCTGAGTGACAGAGTGAGACTCCAACTCAAAAAAAACAAAAAAAAGAATTCTGTTTCGAGGTAGTGAGCCACCTATCACAGAAGCACAACCAAGGTTGGATAATAAGAGATCAGGATGCTGGAGAGTTCTGCCCTGGGCAGGGGGCTGGAGTCAGATTTTGACCTGACTCAACCTTTACCCTACTTTGGGAGAGAAAGAGACCTCGAAATCGTCCAGCTTGAATGGGATGTGACATTCTGACCCTGGGCTAGGATCACGGGCCATTGGCATTGATAGGCTTGGAGTAGGGCCAGCAAAATCCAATAAGAGAAGGGGTCCCAGAAGCTTGAATGATGGCAGGGACATGGGAGTCAATGGGAAGCTGTGTCAGACTGCAGAAGGCAGCCCTAGTTTCCCCTATCTGAAGAATGGACTGGTGGGCTGAGATAATGGGGGCCCAGGAGGCAGAGGCCTAGACTGAAAGCTTGAGTCGGGCTAGGTGGCTCAGCCTGTGATCCCGTGCTTTGGGAGGCTGAGGTGAGTGGATTGCCTGAGCCCGCGGGTTCGAGACCTTCCTGGGCAACTTGGCGAGACTTCATCTCTACAATAAATCAAAAACATTAGCCAGGTGTGGTAGCGTGCACCTGTAGTTCCAGCTACTTGGAAGGCTGAGGGGGAAGGATCACTGGAGCCCAGCAGGTCGAGGCTACAGTGGCTAAGAGTGGCCACTGCACTCCAGTCTGGGTGACAGAGTGAGTCTCCAACTCAAAAAAAAAAGGAAGCTCTTTATAGTGAGGAAGTGACAGGAGACGTCAGGGACAGACACCACACCTTCAGAATACCCCTTCACATATTACCACTCCTTTGCTCACATCGGTTGTCAACACACACACGATTTTATTTTAGGTCCAACTTTGGGTTAAGGACATAGACATCCCCCTCCTACACAGACTGGGCCTCTGGGCAGGGTGGGGTCTGGATGCCTCAGTTTCTACATCTTGTTTTAGGTCTGTAATTCCCACTTTTGGGGCCAGATCTCTCTGGTGTCGCTTGTCTCTGGATTAGTGGGTCCCTTTTTGTCACTCTCTGTTTCCCATTCTTATGTGAACTTCATTCTCATCAAAGCTCTTTCCCACATGCCCCTCTTCTGTGCTAAGTATTTCCCTGTGGGTCTCTCCCTCTTCACCCACCCCCCACACCCAGGTGGAAGTTTTCAACCAAATCAAAGGCAGGCAGGACAGCCGCCCCGGCTGCCTCTGACTCCTTCCCACACATAGGAAGCCCCAGGGATGTCTGGAAATCGTTACTCGAGGTGGGTAGGCCTGGCAGAGTGAGGAGGCAGCCGACGATGTTTGGACCCTGTGGGGAAAGGGGGATTTCTCATGGTTTTCTGATGTGCTTGGGGGGGGGCTGGGGGTAGGGGGTGGGTCTCTGTCTGGATCTCTGACGCCCTGTCTGTCCCCCTCTCTGGGTCTCTGTCTTCCCCAGCTCCAGGATCTCTGGAACCTTCTCGATTTCTATTTCTCTTTCCCCTTCTGCCCTTCTCTCCCTGAGTCTCCACCCTCCCACCCATGTTTCTCTGTGTTCCTGTGCCCCTCTTTAGATCCCTGTCTCACCGCCCCTGTGCCCCCAGTCTTTCTGACTCTATCCATCCACGGCCTGCAGGCCCTTCATTGGCTGGGTCCAGCGTGGGCGGGTTCTGTCACCTGGGGCAACAGCGACAACAAGCCTGCTCGGGCTTGGCTACCGGGTGGGGGTGGGACCATGGCCAGTCGCACCCTAGCTCTGCGCTATGGCCCCCCGTGGTCCCCCATCTCTGGAACCGAGGTGCCTGGATCCTGGCCCAGCTGGCATCTCACCAGCAGTGGCGTTGCCCACCACATTATCCCACCCGTGCCCTTTCCCCCGCCTACTGTGCAGGTGAGCGGTCCCTAGGCTGATGGGGATTCAGAAACCTGGGTGCTGAGAGAAAAGGAGGTTGGGGACTCCCATCTGAAGGAGGAGGGTGGTCCTGGAGTCCTGGGCCTGAGAAAGGAGGGGCCGGGGAACCTGGATGTCGGACCGGAGAGAGGAAAGGACTGGGGACTGCCTGGAAGAGGTCAGAGATAGGGGAAGGCGTGGGGGGAGTCTTTGTAGCTGACGTCCCGCGCCTTCTCCCCAGTCCACCGTCGCGGAGCCCCTGCCCCCGGCCGCAAAGCAGGGTTCGCACATCTGGGCTTTCGACGAGGTCATCAACAGATGGGAGACGACCTCCGGCTCAGCTTACACGCCCAAGACCATCAGCGGGCCCTGCGCGCAGCCCAGGGCTCCAGAGCCTGCAGACCCCACGCAGACTGTGGGGATCAAGGCCTTAGGAGAAAAGGTCAGGTTCTGGGATGCCAGCGTCCGCGGGGGGACAGGGTTGGGGACCGCACTTGCGTCCCCGCGCGTGAGACCCCTCCACGCTGGGTCTCCGGGTCGCCTTCCCGCAGCTCAGACACCGCGGCTGGCGCCTCCCACTGACCACAAAGTACCGAAGCAGCGAGACGAGGGCTCAGTACACCGGCTGGCCCGGCCCCGACCAGTGCGCCACGGTCCCCGTCGGGATCCAGCCCCTGAAGCTCGCGGAC